CGTTGGTAAAAGAGTAGCCCAAGAGTTGGCGGTGGGTGGTGATGACTAGCTGCCTTCCCTCTAGTCTTACACTGCTGAATTAGGGGCGGCTAGCGCAGATAGCCCTCGCGTAGCTTTGCACGAAATTCAAAACAAACAAACAAATCATCTAAAACTATGTATTTTATCAGTACTAACGTATCTAAGCGCCGCGAGAAACTGTTAAAAAATAATAAAAAGTTCTCAGAAACACATTATTAGATCTGCATTTTACATGAATACAGCATGTAAGAAGAAGAATTGTTTGAAGTAACAACATTCATGTAAAAACAGTGTATAAAATACCACGTAAATATTGCAGCAAAATTTAGATAGGAGAATCAGAAGAAGAACTGCACTTGAATATTTCACATCATGTGATTCTGATTCAAGTCCAAGAACGTGTGATACTACTTAAAGTGCTGTGGAAGAATATTAAATGGAAAAAACAAAACAACAACAACAACAACCATAGAATACTGATTAAATGGCCTGGTAGTTAGGGCACTCAATTCACAAACTGCGGGCCGTGGATTCGAATCCCTCTCACGGAATAAACTCGCACTTTATGGTTGCTGTCAGGGCCAGCTACCCAAGTGTAAAAATTCTTGGCTGATACAAAATACTCAAACGGCCGACCCCAAATCTCGATAGGATTAAGGACGATTGAAGAAGAAAATGGAATACTGACTAAAAGAGATATTTCCGTATAAATTTTCAAACCCATTACATCTTCCTTAGGACGGAAATACACAGAATCATTTATGATACAAAAGTACACCCAGAAGTCAATCAAAACTGTGTAATCTAACGTATTAGTTAAAGCTACACTTCCAGTGAAGGTTATATAAATAAGCACACGTAGATTACCTTAGATAATACATACATATTCATTTTGCATACATTAATTTCCAATTGGCACCTTACAGAATTGTCAACGAAGTATATTTAATTATCCAGTATCTACTATATATTCCCAATGATATAACGCTGAAGAACACCGTTATAACACGTCATTTATCATTGTTTAGTGTGTGCCAATTATATTACACTGAACAATGTCGTTATGACACGTCATTTATCATTGTTTAATGTATGCCTGTGTACGTGTCTTTCAAGTAACATTGTTATTATAATGGTGGTTTAACTAAGAAACTAGTTGTAAGGAGAAATAAAACACGACCTATTACTTCAGAAAACGTAATTGGTTTTATTTAAACCAACGTTTCTCGGGGCAAACAAGACACATGCTAATTGATTTAAGCTTATACAATAATTCGAGTTTATGCAGTAAGATGGACTTCGCCCGAAAATATATAAAACAAATTGAAAGTACATGCAAACGGAAAATATTATACTACTTAAAGCACACGCATGATGTTAAACTAACTAAATACAAACAGGAAAAGTTAAAATTTTCAGGGTGATTATTACACTAACTAAATACAAACAGTAAAATATAAAAAAATCAGGGTGGTTATTACACTAACTAAATATAAACAGTAAAAGTTAAAAAAATCCTGTTGATTATTACACTAACTAAATACAAATAGTAAAAGTAAAAAAAAATTCAGGGTGATTATTACACTAATTAAATACAGAGAGAAAAATATGAAAAATTCAGAGTGATTATTACTCTAACTAAATACAAACAGTAAAAATTAAACATTTCAGGGTGATTTTTTGTTTAACTGTGGCTTATTCTCTAAAATTAATTTACATTTTCTATTTAAACAGCTGTAGCAGTGAGTAAGAATAATGAATGCATCATGAATTCTCGTACGTTGAAAGTTCAGCTTTGCTGAAATTCAGTAATCGTGTTCTCCAGATGATGCCGTAATGGCAAAACGTTGTGAAAACTAAGCTGAACTAAAACAAAAATCTAATTCTTATTTTCTGCAGCATATTAGTGTATAATTGTATAAAACGTGTTTTGTAAGAAAAGAATTTCGGATTATTATAAGTTTCGTACCAGTCACACACTTGATAGTCCACTCACGCCTGAACTGTCCATCTGGTGGCAGAGACAGGTCACAATCTTGTAATGGATATATATAATGATTTGGGAGAGCAATGTACCCACAATGCAAACTGAAATGTATAAAACATATATGTAGTATATATTAATTACTAATAAACATTAAGGAAAATTACTTCACCATGTCAAGACTACTATTATACGTTAATTGTTGTTTGTTATTAAGCACAAAGCTACACACCACGGGTATCGAAACCCGGTTTCTAGCAGTATAAGTTCATAGTATTTGCTATATATATATTTAAGTAAGAGTGACAATACAATGGAAAAGTGTGTATTTTTTGTATCTAGTGCCTAACCTGAACCGGCATTCAGTGTTTGCAGAACATTTATGCGTTTCTAATAAAACAAAAAAGAAAAGAATAATAACAAAGAAATACGTTACAAAAAGAACAAAAAAATACGTTAGTAAATAAACAGAGAAATACGTTATTAAAGATAAATCATTTGGAGTAGTACGTAATGTTAAATTCCTGGAGTTGACAAGTTCTCAATAACGATTAGAAACTTGTGTTAGTTGCATGATAAAACCTTAGATGACCCGGTTAGAGATGCTGATAACAAATGAAAAATTACAATCTACCAAGAACACCAAGAGTATACAATAACACTGAACGTCCATTCAGCACATTTGTACGAAGATATATTAATTATATAATTCATTAGATGTTTTTCAATATGAAATAAATCATAATATTTTCTTTCAAATGTAAAGCTCCTTGCTTCAAGGCTAAAATTTAGTATTTTCTAATGTATCAATATTTAAATTTATTTAATTATTGTGTAACAAATACAAAATAATAATAATGGGAAGTTTTATATCATTTTCAGAACATATTTTAGCTTCTTTGTTTTATAAAGTGCGGATTTTGAACTGATATTCTGAGCTTGTAAATAAATGTCCTACACGAGTCAAGTTAGCCTTGCGCATGCACGTTTTGGAGTTATTTGATTACATAAGATCATAATGATCATACTACTAAACACTTATTCTGACAGCATACTCGAATTAGACGCAAAAATAAATTTTAGCGATCCAGTTATATATCTTAAGTTTGTCAATTAACTTAAGAGATGATTTTGCTATTAGTTTAGGATTTTTATAATTATTAAGGTTAGCATTCAACTCAATGGTTCAACTTTTATTCTCTTCTTATGGTGGCCTGTCTTCACCAAATTCTGATCGGAAAAATATCTTAGTATTAAGAACTATATATTCTATTTTGGCCCAGTTCTTTAGGTTAGACTATGTCAGTAAATATCACCACTCTCAGTTAGCCTTAGCTTTAATATTTCTCAGTAGACACTGATGAAAAAATGCATAAGATTTGCATAGAATATTGTCATCTTAAAAGCAAGGACGAATAAATTGTTGGCTGTGGTGATGGTTGGCCTGTGAATGTTTACAGTACAGAATGGTAACGTAGTAAGATTAACACAGCTTAATGTATTTGAATGTTATTATGTTACTAGCAGAGACCCGCAAAATCATTTGCGGTCAAATTAGTTTCTTTATTTCAATAACACTCCTCTAAATACAAGATTTTTAGGATAATAATCAAAAAAATTAATAGCAGACGCCGAAGTCGGTAAGTCCTCTTGTGTTAAGCCTAACATTAATTAATCCCTTATTATGCACGGTCTATATTCGATAAAGAGATAAATTAACACTGTAACTTGTTAAGTTTTTCGCTTTAGTTTACCGTACTTAATTCCTATCAGTAAATAGACTTATGTCATTCTAGACCTTTTTAAAAACTTTGATAAGCTTTTAATATGTTGTTGTACAAAATGTCTACTGTGTAAAAATGTTTACGTCCTTTAAAATGAAGTGAGCGCGTATTTTCATGACAGACAAAAAAACTAAGTATTATTATAATACGTTTTTTCGCTCTATGCGGGCACACACACACACATGAAAACAAGTAAATAAGAAACAAAATATATCCATGAAATTGTTTAAGGAATAGGTTCAGATAGTTTAGTCCGTTATATTAAACGGAATGTTTGAGGTATGCGACAGACGAACAGGGGGTATTATTGGAAGCCTCGTTTCGATACAAAGCCGGTATTTCTTTGTAGTATAAAGGGCCCATGATATTAGTGTGATAGTAGTCAGAGTTCACCTTGACCTTTATATCCACTCTCCTGATCCCTAACTTACACCAGGTGCATATCCAGGGATGATAATGAATCCTTTCGAAAATGTTCCGCGACATGCTGTTGCACTATATTTGAAATTTTGCTTTGGGTAGCAAATTACACAAGACTTGTGTACAGTTATTACGGTACACATACACTTCGTCGAATGTCCCCACGTATTGCCATCTTTCGTTCAGGTACATATCCTATAGCTTTTATAGTTGGTCTTCCTTTCCTGGATATGTTGTGGAAGCAACATATATACACTTCTCCAGATGAACTCTGTACTTTGCACGACTTTACATTGGCTGTGATTGTCATATATATTCTGTGTGAGACCTTCACTTTTATGAAACAACTTTTACAGAAATATTTCATGTATCTCGGAAGCTTTGGCAGTATATGTAGCTTTGATATAGAATCAATATACACTCAAATACCAATGGAATAAGCCCCTGTAATACCAATAAACAAGGTAGACAACGATGAAAAGAAAAATATAAAAATAGATTTAGAAGAAAAGAAACAACTATCGGAATTAGAAATTAACAACTGTTTTATGTTTGCAAAAACCTTCTAAATACATAGAAAAGGTTGGGGAATTATAATCCCATTATCCCCAGTATTATCAACGGTATTCCTCATCAGCATTAACACATTAACAAGCAACATAAAAATATAAAATCCACAACAGAAAAAGTTAAAAATTATTGCATGAGCTTCCTAAACGTAGACATAAAGAAAAAAGAGGCGGTTTGAAAATTCAACTAAAAAAAATCACGATGGAACTTATGTAAACTGGTTTTTTCGCATACGATAGAATAAAATAAAAATCAGAACATTTAAAGGGTGTATAACAACAGCATTGAAACTATGTGCCCATGAAATCGTGAATAACAAAACTTGAAACATGATAGAATATTTCAAAACAAGTATAATTGATGACACAATCAAGAACATAACGAACCAAGGAAAAATGAGCACCTACAAAAACAACAAAGGAACTAACAGAAGTAATCGAGAAGAGTAAGATAAGAAATATATATTTGTAGGTGTTATTAGTTAAAATTTAATTAGACTGTGGTACAAACTAGGCAAAAAAAAACACAAATTGAACATAAAAATTAAAATCGTAACTAAACCAGGAACTAACGCTAAAAGTTTGCTACCGAAGTTATATAATAATGAAAACTATGGCAATGGCACAGTATATAACATAGAATGTTTAGACTGCGAAAGTTTTATATAGGTCAAACAGGTAGGAAAATAACGAACATGAATAAGACTTAAACGTAAATGAACATATTATTAAAAATAACATGAAATAAACTTTTAAAATATCAAAGTATTGAATAAATAGAAAAACCTACACAAAAAAAAATCAATAAAACATCAGGAGCGCCGTTATATTTGTATTAAGTTGAATATGTATAACCAAAGGGAGTTAATATCATAAAACCAATTATTTGATTGGATGTATTTGCAGTTTGAGCGTACTTGTACCTTAATTGTTGTACGTGATCTCACTGTTAGAGACGAAATGTTGTACAGAAATAAATAAATAATTGTCCCACATATAGCTGTTTCAAAACTTCACATTAATCATCATGTTACCAAAGTATGGAGTTAAAATATATCAAGTCAGCAAGATTTATCAAAAATGGTTTTGGACGAAAGTTGTTATACATTTGGACTATGACCCAACTTAGTATTGATTAATTTTTGGAGAATAAAGGTCAAAGTTCAAGGTCACAAAGATAAAAAAATCCTATCTGTTAACATGGGAATCGATCAATTTTTCACACTAGTTTTGCTCTATAACTCAGTCAAAAATTATCGGAATTAAATGAAACTTGATGGACATATGTAGAATATTATTCCTCATTGTCCTACAAAAAATGATCCCTGTCCATTGAAAAAGACGGACCTACCAACACATTTTTTCTTATTTTTTGAGAGCCGAATATGATCAACACTGCGTGGCGGAGGTGTGCGCTATACTAAGTGCCCATCTAGTTGTATACATTTCAGTGAGTTTCATTCGATAGTGAAAACTCTATCCATTACACATTATAGACAAAGAGGTAATCTGCGTCTCCAAACACTCATGTCTACAACACTGCAAAATGTACATATATTAATTCTAATCACCTTGTGTTAATGATCACCATATAGAATTTCTCTCGTAAGGAGGTCGATTCCGCATAATGGATTCAACAGGAACTGTTATGCATTCAGACAATTTATAAAGTATTATTTTGAAGGCGTTATAAACCGTGTATATGCTTTGAACAAAATATAATATTACAAATTTATAAGTAACTACATACCTTAGTTTCAAGTACTACGTACGGTTTATATATGTACATGTGAATTGGAGCTGTCTGAATATTTCATTACTTACTGAGTATAAAAACCAGGCAGAGGTACAAGGCTGATGTTGAATGACATACCATCCTGTGACATCAAAAGATAAAAAATGCAGAAGTAAGTAATACAAGAAAGAGTTCATGGTAGATCCGCACATTCATTTTGAACAAACTTAATATATACACATGTAAATATATATACATAAATATATATATCGAAATTACTGGTCAACACTGAGCCTGTACGATACTGATGTATATCTTTACAATAATAACTAGCATCTTTATAAAACGTCGAGAATATATAAGCATAGAAAACGCTGCATGATCTTGAAATATTTATAATAAATTAAAAGCTATTATAGTTACCTTCATGATACCATAAATGTGCATATAACGATCATAACGGGTCCGGTCCATTGAACCTGAAGTGTTTTAAGAAACAATAATAAAAAACATAAAATAAAATGTCTTGGAGGAGAACTCTGTAAAACTACTGGTTGTTTTTATTAATTCATTTATTAGGTATACCTATTTTAATTAATAGTTTAAAACTATTGGTTGTTTTTATTAATTCATTTATTAGGTATACCTATTTAATTGATAATTTAAAACTATTAGTTTTTTATTAATTCATTTATTAGGCAGACCTAATTTAATTAATAGTTTAAACTATTGTTTGCATTTATTAATTCATTCATTAGGCAGACCTATTTTAATTAATAGTTTAAAACTATTAGTTTTTTTTATTAATTCATTTATTAGGCAGACCTAATTTAATTAATAGTTTAAACTATTGGTTGCGTTTATTAATTCATTCATTAAGCAGGCCTATTATAAATAATAGTGTAAACTATTGGTTGTTTTTATCAGTTCATTTATTAGGCAGATCTATTTTAATTTATAGTTTATTATCTAAAATATCTTGGAACAAACTGTTTTATAATAACAAGTGAATATCAAGTACGAACAACGATAAAAACATATTGATATAATGCAAAATAAAAAACATTAAAATCACAAACAAACTCAATAACTTTAAATTAAATTATTCTCAGCACAATTCTTCATTATACAATATGTAGCTGCTTAAAACCAAATTAAACCACTGTTTAAAACTATGGTACATTTTATTTAAACTTTACCGCTTTGTCTAGTTTTTATTCCCCAAAGCAACATTTCCCTTTCTTCTTCATCGTCAAAACTAACCGTCCCTCTAAATTGGCCCCACTGATCATAGCGATCTTGTGTTTCGGTGATCCTGTAATAGTGATAGAGATATGAGTTTGACTTGATACGTTAATTTATATTATCTGTTATATTGTTCAACGTCATTAATAGTTAGGTTTTTAAGTACTTTCTGCATGAAGTAATCTTTCAATTTGAAAATGTTCTTTGAAATAATTACCATAATGAGGAATTTGCTGTTTACAATTTAACTAAAAAGAACCTTATTCCGTGCAAGTCAAAGAGTTCTATGTTTCCAGCAAAATATAAAAACATAAAAAAAATATTTTCGTGGAGAGATATCCTAGATATTTTAACATAGATCATTATCAACTTGGGTTGAAGCCAATATTGCAAACTCACCGAATTTAACTTGTGATCTATTTAAAATAATCATTACGTATAAGTAACCTTTTATCATTTGTAGATTTTTTTTTAATTAAGAGGTTTGAATACTTATAATTGTTTGAGATTTCAAAAGTTACCTTGTAGAGCTATGGTTTATGTTTTAACATGCCTCTGATTTTGAATCCGAAATGGACAAATTAAGAGGACTGTAAAATAAATCTGCAGTTTACATGATTTTTATCTCAAACTTTAGACCCATTGTTTTATACAATTTTTTCTCACACAAAAGATCTATAACAATGTTTTACGTGTAGTTATAACTTTTAATAATTTTACGTAATAAAATTAACACTGTTTTAGCATAAATCTGAGTTTTACGATTATACAGCATTATAGTTTATTGTTATTGTTCACAGTAGAGGCAAAACATTTTTAATGTTTACTTTCTTCATAAAAAAAACAGCATATGTTTATTCTAAAGCATAAAATAAATAAAACACTTTTTTCTAAGCAATCATTTAGGCGGTATTGTAAATGTATGGTTATTTACTCGGGATTCATCAGTTTTGATTTCTCGTTTTGGATTCAAACATTTCATTGAACTAGCACTACGTTTCTCTTGGTTGCTAACAGAAACTCCTCGAACCATCTGAAATAATTATAAGCTCTAAATAGATGAAGGTAGCAAAAAACTAGAAATATAGCACGAATACCATTTATAGCTTCTAGTGGAAAAAACAAACTATTCAATTTCGGCGATTGGATAAGCCTATTTGTCGACAAATGTATTGATTAAACATAGTTTTGAAAAAGTTTCTCTTCAAACCAAATAGCTATAGCTTAGAAAGTATGGTCAACAACGGGAAAGTCATTAATTCGGTTACACAAACCAAAAAAAAAGGTGTAAAATCCAGGTCAATCTTCCCCCCTTGCAGCTTAAAGCGGTAGTTTAAACAACATGACGATAAAGTTTGGTTACAAAATTGTTCTACCACTCTGATTTTATAGTCATTGTGACGAATTTATTATTCTATATTTATTTTAATATCGCTGTTTGTTTAAGTTAAATTTATATTTAGAAATGTACATAACGTATACTGTTAAATATGTATTGCGAAACTACCGCCTATTCTCTAAAGTTGGAGCTTTGTATTGTTACGTAATCTGAATTTTCGAGAAACTCTCCACACGCCTATAAAATATAACCAGCGTGACGCGCCTAAAAAGACTATCTAATATTGGTTTGCTATAGTTGGTGTGCTATAAATTTCGGAAGCTATAACTGTGAATGTTATAACGCTTATTAATCGGGAACTTAAGATATTTGACAAAGAACGTTTATAAATTTCGAATATTATAAACCATTCAACTTCAGTGGATTCACATCGGACATTAGAACTTTTACGAAAACATTACCTAACGTCATCGGTGGAAACTCGACCTGTAATCGGCTTATGATGAGCGAGAACTACAGGGCTAGCTAGCTCCCTGTTAAGTGAATTATACCTACGTCCATTCGAAATTAACTCGCTCATCGTCAACCTTCGATACGTTTCTTTGTTTGTTTCAAGATAAGCACAAAGCTACACAATGGGCTATCTGTACTCTGCTCACCACTGATATCGAAACCCGGTTTCTAACATTGTAAGTCCGCAGACATACCGCTGTGCCATTGCGGGCCCCTCGATAAGATATCAAGGAAGTTCCAGACTAGAAAGAAGACTTTATATTGCTTGTAACTTTGGGAACTTTTGTATGTAAATCATTGTTTATAATAACTATTTAATATAACTGTTATTGTAAATTGTATTGTTGTTTGTATATTAAAACATATTTGTATTAAAAAGGAAAACTGTGTGTATCAGTCTTGTTGGCAAATATCATAAATTAACTATTATTATATCATTTAACTATTAAATTTTTATTATCATTTAGCTCGATTTCAGAACATTCGAAATTGTAATACGTAACAATCTACTCACCTTTCATAAGTCGGAAATCTTCGAGTCCATGTACCAGTTGCTACAGCCTCACTAAGGAGACGGGGACAGAAATCGATCTTAAAGTCAAAGGGCAAAGTTGTCACAGCCCAACTAAAAGGAAACAAATCATAATCGAAAGATCTGTGCATTTTCTTAATTCAAATCATGCAATATTAGCGGTATAAGTACAAGATTAGTCACTGTTTATTTAATCATTGTTTGACTTCCCAAATACTGTAGTATTGGCTGAATTAATAAAAATTAGCCACTGTGTATTTATATATTTTTTACTTCACACATATTGCACTATTGGTTGTGTTAGTACAAGTTAGTCACTGTATGTATATCTATTTTTGATTTCATGAATACTGCAGTATTGGCTCTATTAGTACAACTTTAGTTACTACATACTTAATTTCATTTTAATTAACTTAATCTTATATTATTATTATTCAAACTAATTTCTTAAAATAGCTTTTTCACCATATTCATTATTATATTTGACTAAGTATAAAACACTTACACGAAAGAAAATTTTACATGAACATCCTCCTGTTGAACCCGATCTCCAATTGGACTTACTTTCCTAAAAATGAACAATACGTATTGATTAGATTATTAATAAATACAAGTTTTCGTTTCTTATCATAATTATTGTATATTCAAGGTTTTCATTCATCCCAATACCATGTACCCTTTATTATTTATGTATGATTCTGTATTATCATATTATTAGAGTCGAACCAAAGACGAGAAGAATAGTTTGTACAATTACTTATATGTTTACAAAAACTGTTCTTTGCTATCTTTATTCTACAAAAAGTTATTTTTTTCTTATGGTACTCATTCCACAATTTTTCTACGTTAATGAGCAACAAGTTTTGACGTACACAATTCTCACTGCAGACTTTCCAAAGTGTTCAGCGTGAAAAAGTGTCACTTGAAGATCGTTTTTAGTAAGTGAAAGACACTATAAAGTGTAGCAGAAACCTTCAGAGAATACCTTTCAATAAAGCTGTGATATTAGTAATGTTGCATCATGACTAAACGAACCGTGTAACATCTATGAAAATGAAACTTTATACAACAAATAACTTAACAGAATACCTGTAAATAAATCTGTGATACCAATAATGTTGCATCATGACTAAACGTACTGTGTAACATGTTGCCGTATCAAAATGGAACTTAACTAGCAAACAACTTCACAGGAATACCTATAAATAAAGCTGTGGTACCAGTAATGTTGCATCATGACTGAACGTGCTGTGCAACAGTAACATGTCGTATCAAAATGAAACTTCACCTAGCTAATAACTTAACAGAGTACCTGTAAATAAAGCTATGATACCGGTAATGTTGCATCATGGCTTAACGTGCCGTGTAACATGCATCAAAATGAAACTTTACATAACAAACAACTTCACAGAATACCTGTAAATAAAGCTGTGATACCGTTAATGTTGCATCATGACTGAATATGCCGTGTAACTTGTTGTCGTATCAAGATGGAACTTTACGTAAAAAGTGTCCTGCACGAACAAATAGATTTTTCCTATTGTAAGATCTTTTTAAGAATGTTATAAATTACTTTTGGTATACTTTTTGTTGTTGTTTCAGAATCCTGGAACAATCTGAATACAAAGTTTCCAGCTTATGTTTCTTTCCTTTTTAGCAAAACTAGGAATGAATGTGTAAATTTATATTTGAATAGTTATACCATGTATGTTATGTCGTTCATTCAGATTCACCCTTAAAATTTATTCGTGAAATATAAAGTTTGAATGTAGAAATAGAGAAATCCTTTTTTGAAAATATGCTTATATGTTGTCTACCAGAAGTTTATTCATCACATATAAGTAATGTTGTTTTTGGACAGGTATACCAACTGGAATGAGTCCCTTACATTAATTAATTTGTGTACAATTTAAATATTGTGCAACGCAACACCTGTTGTATGAACTGGCAAAGCTCAGAGTGAGTTAATCACACAAAGGGAGTTCGTTAAAACTATCGTATCTAATACGTCAGCGCAGGATTTTTTTACAAAGGTTATCTATAAGCCTAAACTAAATAACACAGGTTTCAAGGTTTATGAATGAATAAACCTTGATGAAGTGATTAAAATAAACACCTTAAAAGAGAGGCCGCCGATGACTCAGTGGTAAATCAATGGGCTTATAACACTAAAAATCGGGTTTGGATACCTGCGGTGGGCAAACCACAGGTAATCAATTATGTAACTTGCTTTACAACAAACAAACACCTTTAAAAAGTGATAGATAGAAGTCATACAAACATACGTTAATATATTTAGAATATCAATATTTACAGAAATAGACAATTGCCTAGAAACAAATAAGATGGCTAGATGGTGCATTGTATTACTACAAGCACGAATAAGAAACCCGGTTTCTAGCATTGTAAGTCCGCTGACGTACCGCTGTGCCACTGGGGGGGGGGGGGCTAATGATAATGAAGAGGAAGCGAGGGCTATCAGACAAAAAAATAAGTTTATATTTAAAGTCTACCTACAAGCATTCTTTCAAAGTTCTGTACGTGCTTAAACGTGGCTTGATTCAACAATAAATAAATCACCTTTACATAACTGTTAGCCTCTTGCAGTCTAGTTGAAGACAGGTAAGTGATCGCGAATAAAAAAAAAAAGTGGACAGTTCTTTCTCAAATCTATATTTAACTACAAAATTCAAAAAATATATGTGTCAATAATTTGCCAGGTTTGAAACACAAATGTTGCAGCCTCTGAAGCTAACATTGGCAATACACATACAAAGGATCAATTTATATATATATATATAAGTCTTAGGCTGAGAATTAATATTTCAGGTAACACAAATCAGAATGTTCTCTTCTCGTCCATAGTTACTTTGATTAAACGTTTCTTTTCTGCCTTGGGCCACAAGTTATTTATTACCAATTTCAAATATCCTTCAAAACTGACAAAAGGACAAATCAGAGTCATAGCCAAGCAGTACAGTTTTGTTAATATTTGCAGTTTTCCATTAAAAAACAATAACGATTTTGAAAAGTGTTATCAGAATAATCAATACCAAAATATGTAACATACTGTTGTCAAATAGCCTGCATTCCACCCTTGCAATCTTGTCGTGAATGCTATACTTTTACTCGTATCAACAAATACAAAAATCATCCTTTACACCAAATATATTATGTGCATAATGCTTTTGTCTTTTACACAGCTTAACACATAATTAATTTATTTTTACTAAAATAATATATTTCAAAACGTATATGTTGGTTAGGGTTTCTAACCAACTTGAGGTGCTTGACTCGCAATCTGAGAGTCGCGGGTTCGAATCTCCGTCCCACTAAATATGCTCAGCAGTGGGGGCGTTATAATGTGGCGCTCAATCCCACTATTCGTTGGTAAAAGATTAGCTCAAGAGTTAGCGGTGGGTGGTGATGACTAGCTGCCTTCTGTCTAGTCTTTCGTTGCTAAATTCGGGACGGCTAGCGCAGATAGCTCTCGTGTAGTTCTGCGCGAAATTCGAAACAATTCAAACGTATATGTCAGGAAGAAAAGCAACTATGTAACACCAAAGTTTGTTTGCTAATGATTTTTCAGTTTATTCGCAGTAATCATACAATTAACTAGAGGGGCACTCAGTAGAGAACATACCTTCGCCATGCAGCATTGATAAAAAAAAATAAGAAAATGTGTCAGTAATTCCGTCATTATCAATTGACACAGGCCATTTTTGGCAAGACAATGGGGAATAATATTCCACATATGTCCACCAAGTATAATTAGAATCCAATCATTTTTGAATGAGTTATAGAGCAAAAATAGTGTGAGAAAGCGGTCCCCATGTTAACAGATTGGATTTTCCTGACCTTGCTGTGACCTTGACCCTCAAAAAACTAATCACTACTAAGTTGGGTCATAGTACAAGTGTATAACAACTTTAATCAAAATCCATTCAGCCGTTTTCGAGAAATCTTGCTGAATAAAACAGGGGTGAAAACATAACCTCCGCCAGAATTTTTCTGAAGAAATGTTTTCAACACTAGAAACGCCAGTTGAAACAATTATTGTTTAAAACAAATTACCATTATTTTGTGGCCAATTTAAATGTGAATATAATTTTAGTAGAAATAAGTTCTGTCTAGCTTTGGCTTTTATATTCTTTTGCTTCGAACAAACAGAGTTTCAAAAAGTACCTTAAAAGCCCATTATAAGATATCCTCCAATTTCGTAGCGGATTTAAGCATTTAATTCGAATTCCAGCTGCAACGAAAACATCCTTCTCCCTTTTCACAACGTTGGTGTCCGGGTGAAGTGGAAGTTGATATAGTTCATTTTTCTGTGCATGTTTTAAATGAAGTTGAACTCCCTCCTGTGGAGTCCCTCTTCTGGTGATTCGGAGAACTATCGCATCACCAACAGAATTAACACCACAGAAAAATATCTCGTCGAAATCCTGAAATAATTATAGGAAAATTGTTTTATAGATCGTAAGAAATATTGTATGACAAGATTCAATATTCAGAGTTGGAATATAGCATCTACTAATAAATGTGGTTGTATTAAAAATATTTGTTGCCACTTTTTTGAAGATTGTAACATAATACCTAAATAAATTTTATGTAACCCTAAAAAAACTTGATTGTGATTTAATTGGAAAATAACGTCACTGCAATATATATGGGCTCTAAAAACAGAACTGTGCTCTATCAGAACGTTTCTATAATTTTTCATATAAAAGACTTGCTACATTTCTCTTTAATAACACAAATCGTACGTTTTGATTTTTTTTATTAATTTTACCTAACACCCTACAGCATATACATCATAGCTAAAAAATGTTGCATCGAATTTACCAAGACTTGCCTCAAACGTTCATTTCAAACACAGCTTGGAACTTATATTATATCAACAGTTATTCATATTAACAAACGATCCCTATACTAATACATAACAGTAAAAAGAGAATTTACGCCGCTCAGTTCGATGTAAAAAGATGATACATTTAAAACACTTCGAAGCTATTTTGCAACTGATATACTTTTAAAGCAACATTTGTTTGATTTTACTTTATTCTCGTCGGAATAGCCGAAAACATTGACCATTTACGGTCTATCTCTCTTCTTAACTTTATAATATTTTTAGAGTCAGCTTTGAAAATGTAAGAATCTGGAAATGAATGGCATAATATAATATAAGGATAACAAAGGATCATTTGGTCCTTCAAGGCTGTCCTTGCACACCCACCCTTGAGGAAATTGAAGTGTTAGCCTCCATTACTACTAATGGCAACTCATTCCAGAATTCAGTCTCCCTTAACCGTAGCCTACCCTGTCTTTTCCAAATCTTAAGCTTTCGTCGTCTTGTCCTATTATCTTCTGACTATAGCATAAAGAAATCAAATGCCCTTTATTCTGTCCATCCCCCTTATAAAAGTAAACTTCAATACGATCACCTCTGACTCTTCTTTCTTCGAGATAATAGCAACTGAATGCTGTTTCGATAACTTGTCCACCATTATGCCACTATCTTTAATATATTTGTCATCCAAATGATAACTGTTCGCAATAAAAAAACTAAGGTTCCCCCACTTGACTCGGACGTGACTCGAACACGCAGCCTTCTGATCTGGAGTCAGACGCGCTACCATTGCGCCACCGGGTCACTGTAATAACAATTTATCAAAGATTTTTCATATATTACATTTATTTCTTGATGCATCTTTGAATATTTTTTTGGTGTATTTCATGTCATTGCAAACGTGTTCTTCGTTGGTAAATACGTATAATAGATTATGGCACCAATTTAACACAATAACACTTACTAAACTTATATTCTACTTATGGTGAGGTTATAATTTACTATCATTTAGTTCACATACCAGAGATCTCGAACATTTTGTCCATGATGAGTAGATTGCACAGTTATTACAAACCTGGCTTTGATATTTAAAAAACAAAAAGAGTTAAAGAAAATTTACTCTAAAACACTACTTACAAGCTGCTGACAACATATAGCTTAAAAAGGATGACTAATCCAGTGTTTGAAGTAGTTCGTGAAATTTCTCAGCAAAACAACTTACATCAGTATTCTTCAAATGTCTTGGATTTTCTAGGTTTCTTTCTTCTTCTGCCGCGATGACTCCAAATTTTATAGCCCCCTGTCGATAATCAGTTGTAATGTTCACTAGTCGACGTTTCAGAAAGTTTCGTTTAAGCAAAAGGTAGAGAAAAACAACTAACTGTTTTATTCGAAGAAATACGCCTAAAAGAAAAAAAAATACATCAAAATCCTTACTCTTTTTGTTGAAAATGTTGAGTTAATCTAGTAACTTTGAAAGAGGAAAAAGGACAAATTATCATCTTGCAACAAAATCGATTAATTTTAATAATCTGATTAAGTTTGCATGTAATTTAAGATGAGTTCCTTGTAATTGTTTGACAATCTCCAGATCAGAATTCACTGCACGACAGGGTTACGACTTAGAGTAATTTCCATTTTAGTTTTTATTTCACAGTTTACATATTAACAAACCTTAGTATTTACAGTTTAAAAGAAATAAGACGAGCAAGGTGTAAAATAGGATAGCATTTGTTGCATAAGACTCACAAGTAAACAATATCTCTGTGAATAAAAGTATAAAAACATGACCTAAAATACTTGAACAGGAAAGCAAAAATAAATAAATTTAATCACAATGGATGTTTTGAAAAGTGTTAGCATTATCTGTTCCTTGCATCGTATTTCCCACCAGTGACTACATCTTTTGTCCAGTGAAAAAACATAAACTAACATAATCATGTTTTGCAATAATAGCGTAAACCTGACAAAAGCAGAAACATCTCTAACAAATAAGGTTTCGAAAAATGTTTGAATCTTCACGAAATGAATCCCCTACTACGTGGTGTGCTGATGTTGCACATGCTCATAAAAGTAGGGTTCAACTTTTAACCCTAGTTTTTAAAAAGAAAAAGATTCATAACAAACGTAAAACCTGAATGGAAATATGAGGACAAAAGTAGAATAGCTTCAATGAAGATAAAAATCAATAGAATGTCGGAAGGGGGAGCAACAGCATTATACTGTGATTTTTATCATGAATGCCATTGCTTGACAGCTTACGACGTCTAACACCATATAATATTACACATATAATCGCATTTAGAAAGTATTTTCTCTTCCATCATGTTCAGCACAACAGATGAATTCTGATAATAAAAGAAAGGACTCTTGGGCGGCGGCGTTTAGTAAGCAAATGATAGATATTAAAATGATATTTTTACCTATTTCTGATTACAAATCCACAATTGACTTATTTATAGGAGCATGAAAAAATTATAATATAAAATGTAATCTTTATCACAAATATTAGGCCTAGTGGTTTCATTGTCTCGCTATTCTTCGACGTTTAACACGTTAAGTGTTAAGTTTAACTACTGAACAATAGTGGCTCCGCGGGAAGTCTGAAGGCTTAGAACACTACAAACCAGGTTTCCATACCCGTAGTGGGCACAGCACAGATAATCTATTGGGTAGCTTAACAGCAAAGAAACTACCTAATTACAGTTGTTCTTTTTTATTGTATTTCTTCACACATACAGATCGCCAGATAGCAATGGCACAAAAAACAGCACAGTGCTATTTTTCACACTTCACATTCATTCCGAGTTCACCATTGAAGAAGGAAGTTCCACCTTCCAAAAGCAAGTTATCAGTTGTTTTTGTTAATAAGAAAAAGAAAAAGAAACTATTACAATTTCATATTAACTTTTTAGCAAGTGATGTCTTTAAAATAACTTTTATTTTGAAATTAATTAGATAACTTAAGTAAAAATTTAAAAACTAGAATAAAAATTAAAAGAACAAATTCAGTTAAGGCCATTCCTAACGCAAAAGTTTTGTTGTAGTTGTTGTTTTAGAATTATCGTTCCGATTTCTTGCAGAATGCGTTGTTTTATTTTGTTTTCATAATTGCCATTGTGTAAATATCTTACCTTTGTTTTGAGACAGTAGTCTATATATACACTGAAACCAGCGTGCACATAAACATCTTATATATATTGAAAACCGTGGTGTCTTTCCGTACGTCCTTGTGTCGCCTATTTACGGCTACCGCTTCCCGCGTTGTGTTTGAAAAGCTGCGCACACAGGCAAAGCTTTTGAAATGACGGGAAAACAGGCATGAAAAAAGTTGGTGACAAATTTTATTTCACAAGCAGGATATTCTACACTAAATTGTTAGGAATTAATCGCACTATCATTACATTTCAAAATGTGACGTAACTTAAAGAATGAAAATGTAGCTTTACCGTATGTTATTGTTGAGTGGCTCTTAACATGACCGAAATGCTCAACAATTACTTTTCGCGGTGGGCGATGTAAGTAGCTCAGAGTGAAATAAAAAATGCAACACAATTAACCTTTCTAAAGTCCATGAAATAATCTAAATTAATAGATTAACTTATGCTTTTCCCGTCACTGGGGACGGGTATCTTTGCTTGTATAAGATAATACACGGATGTCTAAAGTAGATCAATATATTCAGCCTAATTTGTGCATGAACTAAGCGTTTCAGTACGCGTTACCAGTGCTTCAGAATTGAAGGACGTTAATTTCTATGACTCTTCGCAAGGATTTAATATTTTTATGAATAAAATCTGTCTAGAGTTGTAAAACTTTGGACAATTACCTATTGAATTACATGCGATATGTACTTCAAGAAAACGTAGCTGTTGCTTAAATTCACAGTGCAGTTGGCACGCGAGGGGACAAATTAGAAAGAAAAGGTTTGAAATATCTATAATAAGTCGTTTGTTTCTTTTTAATTTGTATAAGGTTTTATTATTTGTATGGAAACATTAGAAAATATTTATATAATTAAATCCCTACTGTTCGGTCTGTTACATGAGATTGAAAATTTTATTTTGTTACCCCCACCTTTACAAAACTTTTTCTTTTGGCTGATGCCTTTGACAGAAATAATAGATCCAAAACAGGAGTGTAGCTAGACCTTTAAGTCAACAGGGTCAGTAAAAAAGGTCTGGGGCTGAAGCCCCCAGTAGGGGTCTAGGAGCAGAGCCCCCGATGGGAACAACTAGTTTTCACATTAACTGGTAGGTAGTAGTATGCGAAAGTAGTGACAACTAATTATAAGCTAAAAAATAACAAAGCATAGACAAATATGATGCGATATACCACTTCTGCCCGGCATGACCAGGTGGTTAAGGCACTCGACTTCCAATCTGAGGGTCGCGGGTTCGAATCCCTCTCCCACCAAACATGCTCGCCCTTTCAGCCGTGGGGGCGTTATACTGTGACGGTCAATCCCACTATGCGTTGGTAAAAGAGTAGCCCAAGAGTTGGCGGTGGGTGGTGATGACTAGCTGCCTTCCCTCTAGTCTTACACTGCTAAATTAGGGACGGCTAGCGCAGATAGCCCTCGTGTAGCTTTGCGCGAAATTCAAAAACAAACAAACGAACAATATCCACTTCTAACCAAACATTGTAACTGTATAAGTTGTGCATTTGATTCGTAGCATAGACTTAAATTTAAAACCATAAGTTAACTAATTTTTAAATACAATTAGCCAATTTTATTTCAGCTGCAAAATAGCTCGAATATAATTAAGAAACTATAAACGTTATATTTATCTAAACATTTAACATTTGTTTTCGGTTCATACTACATAGAATAAAATAAAAAAGAATACACCACAGTTACCCCTGATATACACGAAAAAGAGGTTTATCTTTATTTTGCTAGGCATTAATACTTACACCTTCGTTTGGAACCTCATCCAATGTAAAAGCGCGTTTTATTATATCAAAGCCACATCGGGCTATTTGCCGTGTCTACCGAGGGGAATCGAATCCCTTGATTTTCGCGTTGTAAATCCGAGAACTTACCGCTGTCCCACTGGGGGACCCAATGTAAGGGCATGTCTTTTGTTTTCTGAAAACACGGTCAATTCTTTGACAGAAATGTGAAGTAAAAATAAAGAGTTCAAAAATAATAATTTAGCTGGAAAGTGAACTCCAAAAGCCGCCCCACCCTCTCCCAGTCTACATTTATGATACGTGAGCACCAGTCCGTTTGCAAGTTCATGGCTATACTGTTGCCTACAAACAATAAAGGTAATTTTGTAAAAAAAGGCAAAAAGTTTAGTTTGAGATTACATCGAAAACTAAGTAAATAGTCAAAAGTGTGCGTGACATTAAACAATATCTGATTTGGTGTAGCGTAAGACAATTATTCAAAATATAATAATATACAAAACATTTCAAGGTGAATCCTGTAAAATGACGGTACCTATTTACAAAAATATCTTTAAAAAATTGTAACTTCAAAATTCCAAATCGGGTCGATCGACCGAGCTTGCCTACGACAATGAAAGGGTTACAGAAACGTTGCTGTGCAATTGTTTAAGTACCATTTTGATTAATAAACTCCACGAACCAAAAGCAACCACGATTCTTCAAACTGGCAGCAATCTTGTACCATTATTACGTAGAGCCACCTATGTGGTTACAATATTATTTATAGATAGATATTTAAAGTATTCAGTTAGTCTTGTAAGGTTTATTTCACTGAACTGAATGGGCTATTTATTTAGATATTTAATAGGCGATCTTGTGAAATAAATGAATGAAACAGGCCATTAAAATATAGGGATATAAATGTACAGGTATATGAAATAGTGAGAATTATTGAAAAGTCCTACAAATGTGTCCAATATTAAAAAAAAACAGCCGACCGAAATTTTCATGAAAAAAAAACATGAAATCAAGTTGTTGTTTTTTCAAGTATTTCAAAACAGGAAAAACAAAGTGTAATATCCTACTGATGATCACATACAAAATTATACACCAATAAGTTTGTTGTTAAGCGTAAAAATACACAATAGGTTATCTGTGCTGTACGAACCACAGGTATCGCAATCTTGTTTTTAGCGTTATAAAGCGTTTTTACTTGCCGCTGAGTCACTGGGTGGCAGATCAATCAGTAAATTACTATTTTTAAGAGCTACACTCAAGTATAAAATATCGCATCATAGGGAACGTTAAGGTTAAGCCTGATCACCATATAAAAAGCTGAATAATAGATACTAAAATATCTTATGTAGATACACTTAGTGTGTAATACAGTGCAGTTTTAAAATTAACACAACGTAACCAGTGACTTATAAAGTAAAATAAAAAAATATTAAACTTATAAATTAGAACGTGCTAAAGAATAGTGTGTTAAAATAGATATTCCTTCTCGAATTTATTTATTTCGTTTGCACAAAGCTACACATGCACTATGTATACTGTGCCCGCCACGGGTATCAATACCACGTTGTTTAGCCTTATAAACTCTCAGCCTTAACGCTGAGTCACTGGGGAGCTCTACCCCAAAATTTCTGGTTCTAAATATCAATATTTATATTCTGAAAACACTTTGATCATTATGTTATTTCTATAAACTAATCCAAATAGTTTAACTTACCTAATTAACTTATCTCTTGTTTTCCATATCAAACGTATATTTCTAGTTTATGATATTTTAATTTAAATATCCCTGTACTCTTGTAAGTCACAATATACTCTCTCTGTTTTGGCATACTTACTTTTACTTCTTCGTTTATTTAGAACACTTATTCCATCCTTTCTAAACCAATAGAGAAATTCTATTGGAAACCATAGGACACTTATAAGTACTCGCAGTATCGAACCCATTGAAGTTGGTTATCTCACGTAGCTGTTTTTAATGCTGATTACTTGTTACACACCCAACTATAATGTCTGTTCTGCAGTCTATGATTTTACTTTAGTGTGTAGATTTTCAACAAGAAAATAAAATCGGTTATTTTTGTATCAACACTGATAAAGACAAGGCGCGTGACTGATCAGTTTTGACCATGGACTCTAAACCGTTTTACAGATATGATTACTTTCGCATAAATAGAATCCAAAGTTTGCTCTTTCATACTTCCAAACGTTTTCATACCTGAATCTATAAAACAACCTAGAAATATCTGAAGACGGGTTCTTTACTGAACCTGAATTTATGTCATTTAAACTATAGATTTCATGAGGTTTTACAAGTGTAATAAAAACAGTAAGTCATTGAAAAGAACTAGCATTTATTTCTGCTAGAAAAAAAAAATGTTTTTTATTAGATAAATATTTTGAGTTGTTGTAAATGATTGAGTTATTTTGAATGCTGAAATTATTTTCAGTGGAAGATGTTTGTTTTAGTGCAAAGCCAAAAAACTTTTTGGACTTACAGATAATTTAAAATGGAGATATATATTCGTTTGCATGGAGAATATAGGATGAAAATGTTATGGCTTACAAATTACACTGTGTTAACATAAATCCGTTAGAAAACCTTCCAGAATTTTCGTCATGTTTGAAATAGTGAAATTATACAATATGGCTCTTCTTCTTTATTAGGTAGGGGGGGGGGGCATTTTAAACATTTTATCCTTTTATATTCAATTATATCATTTGAATTGTAGTTGGCGAACTAATAAAAAGTTATTAAAGTATTATTACAAATTCCAATAAATATTTTTGGCAAAATAAAATTACTCATCCTTATTTATTTTCGCTATGGCTTCGTAATGTCCGAAACGGAAAGAAATTTAGCTCTCTTAGTTTTATTGACAAAAAAAAAAAAAAAAAGAAAAAAAGAGGGGGTTAACCAAAAAGTATAAATAGAGGTTAAGAAAGATAAGTCACCCTGAAATTACCCTGACTCCAGTTCGGCTTATTAAACCTATTTATTGCTTGTTTAAGAAAATAATTTTAAAAAGTTACGATTGCATAGGATTACGGTAAAAATAACTCTAAAACCTGATGAATCAATGCAATCTACTCATTATAATATTTTGTTTTATAACTTTGCTTACAATTAGTAAGAAGATATATTAAGTTATCTATATTAATTACTGGGTTAATATTTAATTATGGCCTAAGTAGGTAATTTGGTTTGATCTGAAGCTAATGATAATTGCGAAACACTGGTTTAATGCAGTGTTCAGTTGATATCATACGCAAGAAAAAATACTTTAGAGACTGAAACCTAAATGATAACAATATCTAAACCTGAAGGTCAGTTTTCAGCTCGACTATTCGTTACTCGCTATTACTTCTAACTTTCTGTTAATTGTAGTTGAATAGATAACGAAACACAGCAAAACATGTAACAGTTGGAAGAGCAGATAATAGACTTATGGCTAGTAGACTATGTCAGTTTTTTTTTGTCTGGAGAAAGATATTGATATAGTGGAATTTGTTAAAGAATGTAGAGCCAAAGAATAGAACATTTTAAGTAAGGGAGTCTTCACTTTTCAGCATTTTCCGTGAAAGTGGAAAATCTCTCACAGCAGATTTGGTTATAACAGTTGTAGCGTCAGAAACCACTTTGATCCAATCCAGAGCAATAGTAAAGTGAAATAAGGGTTATGGTCACGAAATAGACTCCCCCCCCCCCAAAAGACACATTCTGGTGAAAACATGTTTATGTTTACTGACACCAAACAAATTTCGACAATTGTAATTTTTCCTCCATCTTCCTATGCTTGCCGTCTTTATTATCCACCCCCACCCCCCGATTTGTCCATGTTCTCAACTATTCTAGTGAGGATTCCTTTAACATGCTATAGTCAACAATTGGCAAACACGTAGTTGTTGTTACATATATCCCTTTTCAAATCATTTGTTGAAATAATTTAGCTATTTCTTGTAACCATTAATTTATCTATTAAAAAAGCCTGTAAATTTTACATTTACATTACTTATTTAATTTCTTGAAATCTAGTATATCATAATAAACTGTAATAATAAATTAGTAAGATTTAATCACAATTAGAAATAACATAAAATCGATGAGCCTGCGGCTGTAATCTGTAATTTATAGTTACCTAATAACTGTGTAATTTTTTTAACTTCATGTCACTAGAGTTAAACTATATCAGTTGTATTAGTTCAACCAAAAGTTGGTGGGCAACAGAGATATTTAAATTGGTCCAGCAAATTTTGCACACTTGTCAGCTGTAGGATTATGTACATGAGCTTTCAGCTGATAGATATGATAGAGTAGATTAAAAATAGATCTTTCATCGCACAGGTCAAGAGAAAACATCAACTTCTGGCCAAGGCTTTACAGACGACGATGTCTAAAAACTGTCTTGATATTTCAACATTATAACAAGTACGAGGAACAATTCTGTAAAATTTAGAGTAAATAGATTTGTCACAGAAATGTAGGTTTAAAATTGAAAAAAAAAACATACTGGTATTCAAAGTTTCAAAATGTTATTTTAAACTACAGTTCCCCACTGGCAAAGTGATAAATCTGTAGGCTTATAACACTTAATTAAAACAAGATTTCGTTACCCGTGTACATTGTGTAGCTCTGTGCTAAACAACTCCGGAACTGATGTTTGAACTCAGAACCTTTGCTAACAGTACGAATACTCCAGTTAATTGAGCTATCCAAGAGTACAAACCGTGCCCCTCTTCCTTCACTCACACAGCTTATATATATATATATATATATTATCAATGTATTTAATTCGTATTATAAATCAATGAAAATAAACGTTCTAAGAAACATTATTGCAAGTGAAAATAATAATCTTTGCTAGAAGGTATATCCCCTACTGGTCTTCACCGTCAAAACCCTAAGCTTCAGACCAAGACCCATGAGTTAGCTGACTCGTCTGCATCGTTGTCATTATGGTGGCAACAATAGAAATCCCAACTGTCCAGCCCTTACCTCCTCCAATATCTAATCTGTCATTGAGAGGATCAAAGTAACACAACAGTTTTAGAAATACAGTTCTTCCATCAGACATGAGAGCACATCTGGTACCGTTGCTGGTTGGTGCACCCTCCCATAGAACATCTAACTGACAGACCCCATTTCTTCTCCTTGGCTTTGTCCTCCTCTTTCAGCCGCTTACAGGCTGGGATCCTTCCATTTCAACAAAGCAGAAGCCAATATTGCCCCCCCCCCGTTAGTAGGACGTCTTCGGATTTGGCAATGGTGATTTTAGCAATTTAGTTTGGTGTTGGGGGAAATGGGAGTGCCCCTAGAAAACCCACTTTCACTAGTCTGGACCGAAAATGTTAAGCATTTTTCTTTTCACTGCTCTTTGTGTTATTCTTAATTTATTTTGTATTTATTTTATGGTTGACAAAGACAAACAGCCATGGGTCATTGTTGGTATAATGAACTGGTCAAATAATTCTGTTTTAAGTGATATTGATATTTTACCTAAAATGTTTCTCTGTATCCTTCAAATAAAGCTCCTTCGTGCTTTTATTATTGTACGCCTGTCCTCTTTGATTGTATCTCTCAATTTTAAGTTTTAACTGAGGTTTTTGCATCGCTCCACTCTTTCAATAATTACTTTCCCTATCATGATGTCTTTGCTGGAGTCAAAGATTATCAAATATTTATTTTAAACTATGTGCACTTTAGGTCCCATTCTCTTGTGTTTAAGGAACAGTTTGTTCAGTTGACTTTCCATTTTCAATACATAGTCCACAAAATGTGCAATATCATTTGCAAACCTCAGTTTGGATAACATTTCTCCTTCTATGTTAATTCCGCCATTTCACAATTCTGTATTTTTGAATATTTCTTCTGAGGAAGCAATGAAGAGCTTCGATGATATTGAATCTCCTTGTAGAATGCCCCGCGTTATCTTAACCACTGACGATACTTCTTTATCAAGGTGTAAGTTGATCTGTTGCGTCAGTGTGTATGTCTTATAGTATATTAATGTATATTTCATTTATTCCACTGTTTCGTAGTGCACTGAACATTGCTGAATGTTCTATGGTGTCAAAAGCATTCTAGTAATCGACAAAGGCAATGTAAGGGGAGAGGTTGTACTCATTTGTCTTTTCTATTATTTGATTTATTACTTGTAGATTGTTTAATATTGAATATTCATTTCTGAAATCTACTTGTTTTCTATGTTGATTCTCATCAAGTACTTTACCATTCTGTTCTGTAGTATTCTTATACTTTACCATTCTGTTCTGAAAAACTTATACTGGTGGGATAATTTCTGTCTTTTCTATCTGTTTTCTTGCGAAGGGGGGTGTTCTTGGCTTCTTTCTAGTTGGGCGGAATTCTCTTTATTCCCAAAATTTCATTGAAAAGTATGATTAATATAGTTATTTACTTTTGAATGAATTAGAAAACCTGATCCCTTAGCATCTGAATCTTCCCTTGTTTTCCTCACATCGTATTGATATTAAGGATCCCTTCTCTTCGTTTTGTTTCGACAAGGCCTATGATATTTCAGTTGAAATCCTCCAATTCTTCAAATAGCATGTTGAGATCGTTATCTGTTATGTTCGTCATAGTGTCATAAGCGCAAATGTTTACACTGGGTTTGGTTTTGTATGTCTCCCTTTCGTCTCCCTATGTCTCCCCACAAGGTTTAAACTTGTAACGTCATAAAGAGACATTTTTTTCTCTGAATTTGGACTTGTCATAATCTTGTGCTCCACATGGTCTTGAGTGTTATGGCCTTCCATTTTATTTATGAGCATGACGAGATTTTTGCCTACCACGAGTTTTTTATATAAATTTTCATTCCTCTAGTATACGACCTAATGTATAACCCACAAGACAATGGGGTTTGATGTTACTGGGCGCCCAGTGGTCCCTTAATCGGGCTTATTGAGGTATATTGAAGGATAATCACACCATACGATTAGCCCGTCACGCCTTCTGCTGCCGCCA